TTTTTTGTCATCACAAAATCAAGCTTTAACAACTACAGGGTGTCCCTAAAGTCTGGACACATAGGTAATCTTTTTTTCTTACCTCCACAGATTAAATTTGAAGCTTTGTTTTATGTGAATGGTGAGGTTAACAGACAGAATGTTCGATACTGGTCGCAAAGCAATCCGTATTGGGTGGACCATTCCAAACAGCAAGGAGCGCAAAAAATTATGGTGTGGTTTGTGGAAAGCTCATGTGTTGGGGTCATTTTTCTTCAATGAATATGTAACTGGTGAGACTTATCTTGCCATGTTGAGAGACTAGTTATTGCCCAAACTTGAAAGACTAGGTGAAGGACTTGCGCCCCTGCATTTCACCACGGTGGTAAGAGATTGGCTGAATGACAATTTCCCTAACTGGATTGGAAGACGTGGTGATGTGGAGTGGTCTCCTCGTTCACCAGACCTTAGCCCCCTTGACTTCTTTTTCTGGGGTATGCTAAAGGAGAAGGTGTACTCGATGAAAATCACAGATGCAACAAACTTGATTGAACGCATAAAGAGTGAATGTGCTAAAATCGACGGCAATGTGGAGTTATTGCATCGAGTTCACGTGAATCTTGCAAAACGCATCAACCTTTGCATCACAAATGATGGAAATCATATTGAAGATGTTATTTGTTAATATTCCAATTGAATAAAATGTTGTTGAAAATTGCATTTCTTGAAAATCTGCATTTTTGCCTATGTGACCAGACTTTAGGGACACCCTGTACAACAAAAATTCTGCATATATCAAAAATATCACCAAGGTACAGACTATAACATTAGATATAAGATGTGCATGGGTTTTGGAGGTGACTGACAAAGTAGGACCCACACTGTGTGTGGGGGATACTGTCTATTAGTATTAATTTCTGTTTGCAAGTCTCATATGTTAAAAAAAAAGAATAAGTTAGGAAGGAAGATGTGGGTGCTCAAGCCCACAACGTAACACATCTATTTCACCTTTCATGCCTGCAGACAGGTGTGGGAGGGTGACTACTCTCAAAAGAAATGTAAAATGATAGAAAAACGAAAATAAGGTCCTATCATTGGGGAGGTAAGTAAAGGAACCATACTTCCTGACATTCCAGCCCCATTATAACAGTTAAGGCTGAAATTAATAAGTTAATATCAGTAGTACAGTAGACCAATTATATCACTATAGAAATATAAAAACCCAACCAAGTTATTTGAACTAGACTAACTCCCAATCTCCACCCATTATGTTTATTCATAAAGTCTACTGTTTTAACACACATACTTATCCTTATCTGCATGCTATTTACCACTCCACTAATAGTGAACCATACCATAACATATAAAAGTAAGATTAAAAATATAGTCTGCACTGATGTGCCTTGAATAGAGGAAAATACAGTCCAAAGACAAAAAATGCATTAGGCTTTTACATCACAGACTATATTTTCAATTTTACCTTTAGTGAAAAGAAATCTGTAGTATAATCATTAAGCAGTTGGTCCAATATCAAATAATAAATTAGGCACAATGCCATAATATTATTCACATTCTTAAATTAATTTAGGTTACCATATATTGAATTAGCATTATCACTTCAACCACACTCTTTAAATTTCATTCTACACAATTAATGATGTTTTACTGTGTTACATTCAAAATTTAATTAAACAACTTTACTATCAATGTATTCTTATGAAATTAGGATTATTATATATATGTTATAATTCAAAGTTTCATATTATAAAAGTTTGAATTCCTTCATTTCAAAAGAAACCTTTACATAAAAATACTTAAAAATTCAGTTTTGTTGCCACGTGACACATGAGCAATTGCAAATCTTAATGTTTTGTCTCTATTACTTGAATAATAGCTCATATACACTAAACATGTATGTCTAGAGTGAATCTACTGGTACAGCACTGTTTATGCATTCTTAGTTCAAATTCCATCAAGTCAACCAGATATCAGAAAAAAATTAACTTGCCCAACTCTTGACAGTAGCCACACCCAGCTTTTTATATGGACATGTTATTTCAAACAACATGTACTTATTTCATTGACATTTATATAACCAATAGAAAGAGTTCATTTGAAACTACAATCTCCCAATTGTTATTTTTAAAATAGATACTCAATATTCGTTATCAATTAAATCAAACAGCAGAAGCACTGTTTGTTGATCTTGTCCTCTCTCTCTTGCCTAGGTACATATAAGTAAGATATGATAGTCACAAGTATAATCTGCATGCTTTGATAAGTTTCTTTCATGTTCACAGCATGAACAACCAGAGTCAATGGCTTAGTGTTCCCACTGTGCAAAAGTTCAGTTTTCAGACTAACTTTAGATGAGTCGATAAAAAGTCTCCATTCTTGAGGATGACATTCAGTACCTAATTCTTCCATTAGTGCCTCAGTATTTGTATACAGAAACACAAAGTATTTTGCATGCTTTAGTGAGAAGCAAGACTTTTATGGCTGCTTCTGTAAATTGGAGCTAATAAATTACCTTGCTGTAAACAAAAGCCAAGAACTTCTCCATGCTGCTTTGATAGAGACAAGTCATGAATCAGATCATTTAGCTCTTCTTGTGTGATCAGATGAGGCAGTTTATGTTGTGGTGCCACAGGAATAGAATTACTAGATGAAGAGGATGAAAATGATTCATTGTCTTCTTTGCAGGATACCTTTTCTGTTTCTAATTCACTTGTGGATGTGGCACTGGAAGACCATCCCCACTGAGGTACTGGTTTCATTGCAGATGCATTATCTGGATATTTAATGTATTGTTTAGTTTTGCCTGAATGTCCAGAAACAGTAATCATGCAAAAATAACAGTCAGTCAGATGATCTTTCAGCTCACACCATATCATGGGAACTGCAAATGGCATACCTGCTCTCTTCTTATTCAGCCACTGTGTCAAGCCAAATGTGCAAACTGTACAACATACACATATGGAGCCCAGTGTTTTTCTTGAATACCAATTTTACATACAAAATAGTGGTAATAAGCTAAATTTTTCTTGAGTGTGATCTTTTTCCTTCACAAAACTTTAACATACTTTCTACAAATGTAGCAGAAACTGTTTGGGTGACTTTTGCACTTTACTGGAACTGGAGGCAGCCAGCATTTCAAATGATTTTCTAAAAAATATAAAAGAATTTATGTTTACATAAATAAAGTTTAAAAAATTTTTAAAAACAAAGTTTTGCAGAATATGATTATATCACGGATTTGATGCGAGGAAGAAGATCAGACTTTATTTTGACTGTACGTGGAACAAGGTGAAGTGACCAATTGAATGAGTGAGAGGCAACGGAGAGTGAGGCATCTGACTCTGCCCCTTTCATGCCCAGTTGAGGGATTTCTCGAAATGTCCTAGAAAACTGAGCATGTGAAGGTTCCCAGTTGAGTGTGGGTATGAAACAAAAATGGTGCAATTCACAACAATTATATCCAGAACAAATAGCATGTATGAACAATATATATTTGAAATTTTACACCAATACAATACAGTTAGTGTTTGAAGTTATCAAAAATGTATGCTTTTTACCCATTAACCCTATCACCACGGGTATCCTTTACTGCGCATGACACTAGGTTTTAAACTACTTTTTGTTTATGTTATACCAATTCGAATAGCCTAAAATCTTAGCTAATAATCCATATTTTAATAGTTTACAAGTTTTAAGTTCTTAGTTCTACAATGCAATATTTAAAAATAAAATCTTTATTATGTATGCTAGTGAGTATTTCATACATGATGTCATTCAATATGATAATTTGAGCTGCAAATTTGCCAAGTGTTTTACATCTTGTATGGCCAGATTTTTAGTTAGACATGGTTCAAAGGGCAATAAAATAACAAAATTAAGTATAAGCAGATGTATAATGTTACAAGCCTTAAGCTATTTAGGATAAACAACTGTAGTTTTCTATTAGAATCTGCAGTCATTCTATAAAGAAAAAAGGTAACTTAGATTTATTTTTAAATTCTTTTATGGCAGTTACAAAGTCAGTTGCATCAACCAAGTCCATATAGTGTTAGGATAGAGAATATAACATATGAAATATAAAATTTTACTGAGAAGAAAAACATTTGACATTTATGTAGGAGACTGCTATAGAAGTGAAATTTGAAAATTTTCAGATGAAGTATTTTTAATCTAAACATAAAAATCACTTTGCATTCAGAACAGTCAATACTTACTTTATATATTCATAGACAGGTCCTTAATAAAAATACTTCCTTAAAAAATCTGATTTTCTATGTGTAAAATACTGGCAATGTTCACTGGTAGATTGCCAAATGCCATGGAGGTACATGTATTATGTTTAAAAATAAAAAAAGGATGGAGATATGGAAATGCTGGTGGTTACGAGGTCAGTCATATTGACTGACCCTATATCAAAGAATTAAGGTGATACACCAACCTTCTGATGTTCCTGAAATGCCTGGTAGCCAATTTCTACTTGATCCACCATTATAGGACCATGACCATATTCCCTCGAAACCATGTCCACATGCCACATCTCAGCCTTAAAAAAAAAAAGTCCTAGATACACATACGAAAATATAAAAACAAAAGTGTACTTTGTATCAATTAAAATTCTACATAAAAGATAGGAAGTGACTTTTTGATCATTATAATGTCATCTAACGCTGATGTGCAATATATTTTCCAGTACTTTTGAAAGTCTTTATAACAAAACTATGTATATATTCACTGATGTTATCTAAGAAATTCATTCTTCACCCTTTCAAAGTGAGTGAAGCTATCAATGCTCAAATTTGCACCAAAGAAAACATTAAAAGACATACAATTGAGTTTAGAAATTTACTGTGATCCACCTCTACACACACACACACACACACACACACACACACACACACACACACAACAACAACAAAATACCAAACCCAAATCAGGAATAGAATGAAAACTACTTAGAAAGTCAGTAAGACTATAGGCATATTTGAATTTCAACATTTAAAAAAAAAACTAAAAACATTTCAAACATAGCTCTTCACTAGTAAAACTATCTTGAACCTGAACTTTACCATATTTGAGCTAGTCTGTTAAGTTTAGTTTGAATATATCTCTCCTAAATAAAGCATACTCTGCAAACAAACCTTTCTCTCCACACTACATTCACTTCTGACTATCAAGTGTCTTTTTGATACTGAAAGATATAGGATAGCTATAGACAGCTCTGCTCAACAAGTTCAAATAAACAATTGCTTGAAACAATTTCATGTTATCATTCAATCTTCAGAAAGGACTTATGTTCACAAACAGTTCAGTCACAATTAAATTATATATTTAAGGTACCTAAACAGAGAATAAACCTATATGATATTTATGCTGTAGTGTCACACCATATGACCTTACATGTAGTCAGTTAAAATCAGCGAGGAGCTTCAAGACTAAAAACTAACTTGAAATTTTAAAACTAATATATATATTATTAATTCATTCATGCTTATCTTCACTGGAATATTCAGCTCATACAAAGGGTTGAGTACATTAACTCTCTCAGCATGGGTTTATTGACATAAATACATGAAATAGTAGTTCAATAAAATTTTGAATGCAAGTTAACAAACAAGATAACATGGCCTTTAACCCTATCCCCATGGGTATCCTTTTATTGCACATTACATAAGGCTTTAGTGTCTTACATTCAATATTTTATTAAACTATTTTTTTTGTTTTACCAATTAGAAAAGCATAAAATCTCAGTTAATAATTTATATTTTAATAGTATATAAGTTTTAAGTTCTTAATTCTATAAGCCAATATCTAAAACAATTCTGAATTTCCCCTAGCATAATACACGACACATTTTCTCAAGGTATCTTCTCTTCTCTATTTTATCCACCACCCCTCCAGTAACTATGAAATGAAACATAAATTACTCACTATAAAATAGTCATTTCTCAGACAGACCATAATTTTCATAACCTTCCATTTTGTTTAGTTACAGAGCCATCAAATAGCAAATCAGACCCCTCCTGCCACACCCACCTGTCACATCCTCTCTTTCAGGATTTTGTAACAGCTAGCTGGATGAATTTGTAATGACTTGTTGCATAGTTAGAAACCCAAAAAATTGTTATTATTAGAAGAAATTGTCTGCTTTTTGCATGTTATTATTTTATGTACTTTGGTGCATTATTTAATTACATAAAAATTATTTAATGCACAACTACTATTAGTATTAAAAAAGTAGGTTTAAGTGTCATCGATAGCTGAAAAAAAAAAAGAATACTCAGGTAAGTACTTTATTACTTCATTTTCATTATTATTCTTTATTTATTATAGATGTATTTCCAATAATACTTACCTCCACTGACACTATAGCTAGAATCCCAAATTGAGAAGGTGGAGGGGCAGGTGCAGGCATGAACCATACAGAAAGTTTATATAGAACGGAAGTTTACCAAGATAAAGATGATACAAGATTGGGGGAATTGCACTACATCCAGAACTGGTATGCTCTTCACCAGGAACTCAGATCTTATATCAAAGGTGGAATAGAGTACGAGTATTCATCAGTATAGGCTAGTCCCAACCAGATAGCCGAGGTTCCAAAACTAAGGATTGGAATTAATGGGTCATGATACCTATATCCCACATTAGTGGCTTGGACTATTGGACTGTAATGTTATACAGACTTTTGATTGGATCCCAACCTGTAGCCATACAGTGATGCGTTTCACACCGCCGGAATCATGACAAGAAAGTAACCAACACCAAAGTGGACAAACTTTCTTCTCCACCTGAAGAAATCCAATAGGCAACACCCTGGCTCACAATGACAAGATCATGTATGCCTTGCTCAAACAAATCCAGTCTGGAATTATGAACATTCATCCTCACTCACCAATCAAGTCGGCGGGCAAGGAGTATTCCGCTTGCCCCTGGAATTATGGAGAGGACATGGAACCTGTGCTCAACCAAGGACCTAGGAATTATGATGAGATAGTGGACCTCCTTCCATGAACAATATGTGAAACGGACATTGATCAAAGAGAAGGACTATACACCCTCAACCAGATAGCTTCATATCAAATCGAAACCAGAATTACGAGCAGGCTCTCACAGAGGTTGGTGCCACTCCTACTGATATCTAAGAAAAACATCCAGGGACCCTAGTAGGAGGGCCCCTAACTGCACTCTCTTCTCCAGGAGTGGAGGAACACACTCGAACACTCTGAATGAAAAGCCTCTGTCCACCACTCCAGTGACTGGAAACTGGAGTGGTAAGGACTCCCAAGCTCCACCAGTAGAGTCGGGAGGAGTAATATGTGTTGGGAGCCCTGAGAAAAAGTGGTGCTCTGGAAACTGTTCCCTACATTTTCAAAAGCAAACTGACCCTGATTTATTCAACCTGAAGATCGGTAGGGAAGGGCAGGATCTCCTTTAACTTTACTCATGATAGTCCATGATAATAAGATAAATACCATCCGTTACGTGCCTAGATGGTCTTATGGAACACCCCATTTTGACAGAGTCTGTTGCAACCTGTAATAATTATAGTGAAATTGGTTGCTAGTGTGGAATTGAAAAGAGAAAGCAAACCAGCCTGGGCAACACTCACCACAGAGTGGGATCCAATGAAAAATAAGAGTATGTGATTAAGGAAAATACTCACCTCTGGTGAATATCTAATAAATGTGGTTAAATTAGCTCCAGTGGTTAGTCAAAAACCCTTAGAAGAGGAAACTGCCAGATCATGTAAACAATGAAATAGGAAAGTATTAGGAGTAATCCACATACCAGACCGCACAATGTCCTAAAGAGGGCAATTCAACCAGTGGAATGGATACCCCCAATAGTAATGTTGTTCCAATCCAACCACCATTCACAATCAACAATATTGCACCTGAGTAATGACACAGGATGATCCAAAGGATCAGAAAGCATGATTCAATGACTGTGCAGTTATTACTGAAGGGACCTCATATAAACTCATCCCAAATAAATGAGAGGCTCGATGGATGCCCACATCTCCAACAGAGAAAGAATCATCCATGCAGTAGAAGAAGGAGACATATGTATAAGCTCTTTCCATTTGTTTGAAGCCTGATAGGGGTTGGTTGGGCACAACTTAAAGTGTATTAAAAATAACACACCCAGATGGATGAGATATTGCATTGGTGTCAGCATAGATTTCTCCAGTCTGATAAAGAAGCCTGCTTTTGTGGCTTCTAAAAGGAGAGTCTGAAAATTTGTTCTGCTACTTTATGGGATGGTGCCAGAAGAATCCAGTCATCTATATAATGGTTTGTGAATTGGTCCATGGAATGTAGATGAGAAAAACTCTAACAACTCTGCAGAAGTCGTAAGGTGCTGATGCAAGACCAAAAAGTAGAGCCTTGAACTGCAGAACCTGATCCACGTGCATAAATCTGAGAAACTTCCGGAAAAATTCTGCTACGGGAATATGGAGATAAGCATCAGTAACATCGAACTTGGTCATCCAGAGCTCTGGTGCAAAGTGACATCATAGGTTGAGAAAGGATTCCATAGTAATTCACGAAGAATCTAAAATTGATTAAGTCAAGACAAATCAATGATTTGACGCCAATCTCCAGTCTTCTTGAGAACATCACATATAAGTGGAAATAAAATCCCATAACAACTGGATCAACCCTCTACTACTGCCATTTTGACTGACAAATGTCTTATAGCCATGAAGCTCCACTTATCGTAAATATGTTGGAGGTGACAAGGCAACAGGTTGTGCAGATAAATATGGAGGTGATGTAAATTGAATGACCAACCCTGAATTCAGAGCATGGAATACCCATGAATCCTTGGTGAAAGAACTCCATATGACTAGAAAGTGATGTAAACGTGGTCTCACTGCTCCCCAACCCAAGGGATAGACACCGACACTGTTGTCGATGGTCCTCCGAGCCGAAAATCCTCGAGAATACAGATGGACTCTATTATGGGAACCAATAAACCTAGGAACCGAAGGTGGGGGTGGGTCGGGAAAACCAAGAGCTGACACTCCCAAATTAATCCCAGAAAGGTGAAAAGTCAACGACGATAAAGAAGAATGCAAACAAACTGAACCAAATCTTGATTCTAACATCTCTGTAACTCCAGCAAATAACCTGGGATGGAGAAAAAAAGCTTTCCGTAACTCCCGAGGGCAGAAGATGATAAACAAACATTTTTAATAAAGAATCTCTATCCAATAAATCTCAACCACAAACCAGCCAGGAAACCAAAGAAAGAACTGAAAAAGACAATCTGACTGAGGTAAACATCAGCAAAATTCCCAACTCCTCCTCAAGTTGCCGAGGTAAAAAATTGATAGGCTTCCAACAAAAGTTAAAGATAAATACCTGAGGACAATTGTTCGAGTAAAATGAATCCGAGAAAATTGTGATCTGTTTCAAGTGATCACATGTTCCAATCGAGACCCACAAAGCTCCAAAAGGGGGTCCAATTGTTGAGAATCTAAATATACCTCCTCCTAGTGGTAATAAGCCAAAGCATGCTGTTCCGATAAAACATGGG